GGAGAGTGATTCAGGTCTTCCTCTGAGTCCATTCAGTCTGCCTAAGTGTCTGACTGTAGGAGGGCACAAGGTTTATCTCAGACTTTCAGTTCTTAACTTCTGTGTCCAGAGCTAGTGGGTTGACTTCCAGGCCTTTCTTCTAATCAAGATAATATACCCCTGCACTTCAGAGAATCCCTCATCCCAAGCCTGAAGGAATTTTTAGTGGAGAGCTGATCTGTAAGGGACAGGTGATACAGTACCTGGCAGGAAGGAACAGTCTCTGGAATTTTATCCCAGTATTAGTGTTTAGTTTTAATGTCTCATTCACAACCATTTTGGTAAGTGTATTGATGTTATAAGAAGATCCACAAGAAGCTCATCCATTTTCTTACAGGTTGAAAGTATGGGTGTGTAAGCCAAAACAAAATGGATTGATTTCTGTTTTCCTTTGATACCAGCTTAACTTGAAAATAAAAGAGAGAATAAAAAATTATTTAATTTGTTGGTGATAGTGTTTGAGTGTGTACTTGTGTGGGTGTTTGTGGTAACTTGTGTCCTATGATGTCTGTAAAGATGCTGATTTTTTAATGTAGAAGAAAAAAACCTGGATTTTTTGAGCACCCTTTTGGGATTTTTGGATTGAACTGTCACCAATTTCTTGTGCTTTTGGTCTCTTTTTGCTTTCATCACGCACTTTTGGAATTATTTTTATTTTGAATTTATATTTTCTTTGCTCTTCAATTTTTCTGTTATCATCTTTTCTTAATATTTAAGCTAAGGCTCCTTGTCAGAAATTAATGGTAGTTGAACAAATACAAGTACTGATCAGTGCTGTTTTGTCACATTTTACTGTGGAATTGCCACACATTTTAGTCCTACTAATAGGGGTAAAATTAGCAATTTCAGTCTAATAGAGATGATGGCTTGTTACTTGCTCTGTATTTTACATTATTAGCAAGATGTAAAAAACTATGAAACCATACTTTATTTGTCACTGAATTCATTGTAGTTTGGTAGCCATACATGTGTGTGCCAAAGGACTAAAACCTGCTCAAAATTTTTGGTCAAAAAATACCTGAAAGGTAAATGGGCATTGGAAAGAAGGCTTGTTAACATCACCTCTTTTCATGCTTTGATGTAATTGGTAGGTGCTAAAATCATGCTCCTATTTCCTTCTTTGGCTTTCCTCAATCTATATTTATGCCAGTCTAGATTTTATACCTGAATACTGTGTTTTAATGTAATGCATTTTATTTTTTAAGCAAAAACCTTTTGAGAAAATGAAATTATTTTTAAAATTAATATTTGTAATCAGGTATAATTACCTTTCATCTCAGGATGAGTCAAAATCTAGTAAGTTTAGTGGATAGACTAGAACCAGGCTAGTATATTCTTTGATTTGAGGATTTTTGGTAGTTTTTCACTAGTTACAGCTTGTTCTTTTGAAAGAATGGAGACAAGAGTGACAGATTGTGGCTTAGGGTCTTGATCTAGCACCATGACCTGATGTTGCCTGGCCAGTGAGATGCTAAATAGTCTTAGTTGTTTTACCCTCCAAGTGCCTTATTTCTACAATATTTTCAGCAAATTTCAGTGTTTGTGGACAGTTCTCAGCTCCCAGCATGGACAGCTGCCTTGCACATGTCATGGGGCACACAAGTGCATTTGGGCAGCTTCATCTGACTCTTTCTCATGAACAGCTGCTTATTGAAGGAATCACCACCTGTATCATCCAGTTTTTACCTGTCCTAAGTGACAAAAAGTTGTTACCACATCAGCATTAGATGCTTTCATTTCTTACAAGTAAGCTGAGGAAGGCACAGCTGTATGTCTCTAGTTTGCCTTATCCATTCTCAGTCTAAGTTAAAAATAATCTATAAAAAAGGATAAAAAAAAAGCACTTGTTAAATAGGCATTCACTGCATTTATTGTTTGTTGTTGCTACTGTGGGACCCACTGCTCAGCTCTAGGGTGGGCTGGTATTTAATCTGGCAACATCTAGAAATTGCAGTGCAGGATGCTCTTTCAGTATTTTAGTGCTTCACGTGTGGAATGCTACAGATAAAACATGTAAAGCAATGATAAGAACACAGCAGAAGATCACAGAAGGGACTGATGCATTTCAAAGGTGGCTGTTAACTGTAGCATTTTTTGTTAATTTCTCCAGTTAGAAGAATCCCATATTGTTTGATCATTTTTTTGGGAGAGTAAAAGTAAGCATTTGTTTGAATTACCTAGTTGATAGTTTAATCTTTTCTAAGTCTCATTATTCTGTAACTGTGTAAAATCTACAATTCAAATCCTCCCCAGTTTTGAGGAAAACATTTTAAAAATTGTTTTTTAACAGTTCAGAGATGATGAGTTATGTTATATATTTTTGCCAATTGTTTACTAAACACTCGGTGACAGTCACATTAGAGGAAATCCTCTCACCTTATCACTGTGATTAGGTCTTGCTGCACAGCAGGGGACAGAAATGACTGCAGACCTGGTCATTTGAGTCAGGACATCATTTTCAGTCCCCTCTTCCATGAGGCTTAATTTTCTCTGTGATGAGATGGTTCATCAGTCTTACAAAGTAAATATCTTTATGTTTTTACAGCAGTGTGGCTGTGTTAATGTATTTATTTATCCTGAAAAGATAAATGCAGAGTTTTGCAGTGTGCAAATATGCCTTGCTCCTGTCCAAGGCTTCTAATAGATTCAGTCTTTTAATTAATCCTTTAATTGTGCTGGTGAACTCATGCAAGCTTGCTTTTGAGCTCTTGGATGTATGTAGGAGTTTACTGAGAGTATGAGGTGACTTAAAACAATGAATCATTTATAAGAATCATTATCCCCTGGGTTTGTCCCTGATCAAAATAATAATAGTAATTAAACAAAATGCTATTTCTCAATTTTGCATGAAAGAGCTCTTCTCCGGTGGTATTTTTCACTTCCATGTTTGTGTGTAGGCAAAGTTACAAGTGTCAGGTTTATTAATTTATGCTGTGTCTGATTTTCTCTCCATTATCTGTTTTCCTACCTACAACATTGTTTGAATTGTTGTGAATTAATGTTAATATTAATGTATTGGTATTTAAAAATGCTACTACAGTATCCTGTATTATAGGAATTAAATAGTTAAAGGTGATTTCTTTCAGAGATAGCCATGGTGTAAATTCTCAGCTCTTACTAGCTTGTTTTTCTAACCACAGACATCCAGAAATGGCTTAGTGAGCTGGTAATAAGTACTACAAACTATTCCTGTAGACCACAACTATCCTCCCTTTGTTTTGCTGTGGGCATAGTAGCCATGTATTTTGTATTATTCCAAAACACAGAGTTAATAGTAAAATGATTAGACACATAACCAGTTTAGAAAGCTCCAGTGGTTTGTGTATTGTCCTGTTAAAGGACATCACTGTATCTTCAGTGATGATTTCTTTATTCATTACTTTCATGTAGGTTAAATGGAGTAACATGTTTTAAAGCAAAAAAACCATCTTCTGTTATTAGCTCTATTTTATACGTGGTACTTTTTTGACATTAGCATTGACATTGAAAGATGAAATTATATGCACTTTGCTTCTTTATATTTGAGTCTTCAGGGTCTCATGGCCTTAACAAAATTTGCACTAAAGTTCAAGCACATGCCTGAGCCCTCTACTAGCTTGTTAAAGAGGAAGGACAGAAACATTCTGGATGTAATTTAGCTAAAGTCATTTGAATTGGCCTGCATGTTCTCTTCCTCCTAACAAATCAAAGAGAGTCACATTCAGGTGATAAGTGCATTCTTTTCACCTTTTGGACAGTAACAGAAATATTTATTAACAGGAGCAGAGGCAGCTCTGATGAAATATGTGACTTGCAATCACTCTGGCTTATCTCTAGGAGTTAATTGCCTTATAAATAATAATGTTGAATTATTGGAGACATGCTGTGGAGTCTGAAGGCTGGCAAAACTGAGAAGAGCAGGGACTGATTATTTGTGTTTATATTGCTAAGGCTTCCAGTGCTCTCTGCCTGCAACCACACTGAGATTTGCTACAGGGAGAGTTATGCTGTAATTGATGTCTCAAATAGATGAAAACATTTGATTTTTTTGGTGTTGAGACTCAACCCTGGTATGTTTGTTGTGCAGCAATAACTGCACAAAACTATTGATTACACCCAGAAAAAGAACACTTTCCCTTATCGTTGTAGGAAACAAAGAATGCAAATGAACAGAAAGTGTTAGATGTAAGATTTCAGCAGTTTGGAACATTTCACATAAAAACACTCAATTTTTCTATAGATGTATCTTTTATGATATTTTGTGGTTTGTGTTTTATCTTATTGCTTGAAAATGACAAACGGAGGAACCAGCCTTTCCTTGCCCCTGGCCTGGTTTAGCACTGCCAAATACATTTATTGCTAACCCATCAGACACTGTTGTGTCCTGAGCTAAAGGCAATGTTAAGATCCCAAGCAGGAGTTTATCTCGTGGTTTTACAAGACAACATTTGCCCTTAAGAGATACTGCTATAAGATGAATGAAAAATGTTTAGCTTTAGACCATTTTTAAGGAATTAGTCTGGGGAGATAAATAAGCATTATTGTAAAGCAGAAGTGGTCACTTACATGAATAAGCTGTCCCTGAATTAGCAATCATTTTCTGGCATTCTCTGTTACTGAGATTTTAACTGTATCTAGTCTGCTCTCAAGTTTAATTATTTTGTAATTTCACTAGGTTTTAAGTACTTTGAAGCTATTTTTCCAAATATATCGTGAGTCCAAGTTCTCAGAGCAAAAGATCTGCAAATGTCTCTTTAAAAAGTGGTTTATTGATTTGTGATTTATCTAACTTAAAGTACTTTGAATCATTTCTGCTTCACATTAAGCAATCACAGTATTTTCATGCACAGTGTACATTGTGTAGACTTCCCTGAAAATGTATTACAGTACTTGAATGTTGTAATTCTTAGATTTCTCACTGTACATCTTATCTTTTGATTTGCATTAATGTGTTAAGTTGTCAAAATCCCTTTTGGTTTCAGTGCTTGACTAGTGAAGAAATCTTTTCTTTGCATGGGATACCGAACAACAGTCGCATATCAAATTCCAGCTTCTCTACAATATGTCCTGCAGTTTTGCAACAGCTAATTTTTCACCCGTGTGATCATCAGGAGAGCTTTGTGGACACGTCTAAACCACATTCTTTGCAAGGTTAGTTACTATTACTTGCATTAATGCTGTGACTGGAGTGAGGTTTCCTTAGAAGAATAGTAAGCATTTATCTATAAATAACAGGGGTGTCTTCTTTGGGAAGATATGGTTCCAAAGTGGGAACATAAACTGCTGTTTTAGGTCAGCAGACTAGCCAAACAAAATTGGTATCTCTTGACAGTGATCTATTTAAAATGCTGTAAGAAAGGTGAAAAAACTGACTAGAAAGTTATGGAATGTTTTCCCCACTTAGGGAAGAGCCTTTCTGACTTGTTTTTTTTGGATAATGGTTTGTGCCTTGAAGTGTAAGGACTCGTACTTGTAGCTGGTTAGTGGAAAAGATGAGTGTAAAGAAGGGAAATTTGTGCAGGTGATTTTCAGTGGGAAATGAGACTTGGTGGAAGCTGCATATGTGGAGACAGGTTAAGTTAAAATTACTTGGGCTGCATTTGAGTGGAATTATTTGTAGGGGGACTGTCAGGTGAGCCAGTGACTGAGGAAAAATACTCATATTCTTTCCAAATTCTGACTCCTGCTTTCATGGCATCTTTTGTGATGACCCCTCCACAAGAAGGATTGTTACATGGCTAAGTAGCCTTAATGTTCTTTCTTCCTCTTTTCCTCACTATTATTTCTATATTTGTGCACAGAACTGTACAGTCCAGTAAAAAGCATTGGACAGGAAATATTCATCTGATTAAAGAAATCACTTGTTGCACTAATAAGGATCAAATATATAATGGTTTATTTATTTGAGTCAGTATTCCAAATGAACTTACTGTTCCAAGGGAGTCAGCTGAATTAATGTTAAAAGCTAAGGTGTTGGATTAGTAGTGCCTAATGTCAGTATTTGTAAGAAGAGATACAGAAGTGCTTTTTGTAACTTTTGAAATACTGATTAATACTATAATACTATTAATACTATAATAATAAGGTGATCATCTTTAATAAGAATTAAAGATCATTCCCAAAACTGTGTTTTGCTTTGTCAGTGAAAGATTGCAATTCTAATTGAGTAATCACTGAAACCATGGCACCAAGATTGCTTGTTTCACACAGAGATACATATTATCAAGAAGACCATAAGATCTGCATTGGACAGTAGGATCTGTTGTACTCTTTTTTCTATTTTTTTTTTGTTTTTTTGTGAGGGAGTGCTGGTTGAGTAGGTTGAACATGGAATCCTTGACCTACAGTTAACCTCCTAAGGTACTTAGACCACCTCTCATGTTTTCCTTCTCTCTGTCCATCTCAGAAGCAATGTCCAGTAGCCAGATAATCAGAGCAGCCTTCTCCCTGCCCCTCCCTTGGCTGCAGCACAAGAAATCTGCAAGGCCCATGGTTAGGGCACTTTAAACCACTGTGACACATAGTAATACCTGTTTGAACAGAGATTCCTAGAAAGGCCCCCCAGTGCCCAATGCACCTGTTGATTTATACACCCCCACCCTATCACAAAGTGAATCTCTATCACAGTGCCATAGAGTCCAGATGTTTTCAATTACTGCCCATGGAGCAAAATCCTCCATGCCTATTTCTAGCTGTGCCTATGTGAATTTTCTCCCCAGGGACCCCCACTCTCTTAACAATGCACCGTCTTCCAAAATACTAATGGGCAAGATGTGCAGAAGAAACCACTTCAATAAGCTTTAGGAACAGCTACTGAATAAAAAATGAGTGATGCCAAAGCAGAGTAGAAGTTGGAAGGCAAAAAAGACGTTGCACCTTTTTTCTTGGGATTTGTAGAACTCCCACCCAACCTGTCTGATCTTGGGGCTCACTCAAGTCCTCCCCTTGCTTGCTTCTCTGAAAGATAACAGGTAGGTGTATAGAGATGCATCAAACAGCTGAAACTGCCCAGTGGCATTCCTCATGTGTAAGACAAACACTTTCTGTGTTCTCTGCTTGACTTGTTCAGAAAGGTATTTATGCACTTACTTCCTCCTCATCCTAGGACAAGGTTAAGGAAGAGCCTGAGCCTGCCTGTTCTTAAAAGGAGCAGTGCTGAGCAGCAGTGTTCTAAGGAGGGCATCTTACTTGCACTCCTGCAGTTTTATTTTCTGTATTTCTTGCACTGTTTGGTATCTTGGCTGTCTCTTTATTTGGGTTACAGTTTAGAGACAGAAAGAATAATAGTAGATAGCAAAAATTGACTGAGACATCAGTCTCGGGGAGGAATTAGCACTGGGTCTGAGTGCCCTGCTCTGGTACATGGAGTCAGACTACCCAACTTTCTGAGGTGTGTGGACTCATGAAAAAGCTAGTGTGGATGCAGTTCTAATGAATAAAACCATTTTAAGGCAGCGTTGCATACACGATACTGTGAAATACAGTCCCTAATGGAGGAACTTTGGCAACGTTGGTTGTCTTGGAATTTTTTCAACTCGGTTTAAAATGTACATTTTCGCACAGAACATGGGCAATGTCCATGCACTAAACAAAAAGATTCTTGTACTTCTGCAGTTATTCCAATTAGACAGTGTTTTCTGACTCACCATGGCACTGGAAACTCATTTATTATAAATTTGATTTCAAAAACATATTTACAGTCTTAATTGTCATTTAGTTTAATAAAAATAAATCTATGTAGCTTAGTGAATCTACCCGTATCTGGTTGTGTGTTTTTCCCCTCTCTCTGTGCAGCTCTCTCAAAATTGGCAAATGAATGTTGTAATTGGCATTGATACATCTACAAATACTTTGAATGTTTCTAATGCTTTCTGCTCTTGACATAATATAAAATTCATTTTATAAAAACATTGTGGAACTGTATGGAGTAGAGCTGTCCCAGTTGCAGGTGAAAAATCTAGCTCAGTGTGTTTGCCAGTTGTGTTCCAGAAAATAATATCAGACTATAATCCGATCTGTTAGTTTCTGTTATGCAGAGAGGAATTTATGGTAACTTCCCTATATAAACATACAAACTTATAATGATGCAACTTTCTGGATTATATGAAACTGTTCTCATCTAGGCAACATTGCATTGGCATTGATTATTCTTTGTGGTTAATTTTTAAAGACAAACCCTCTGTCTGTGTGGATTACTTTGTAGTTCTGTGGCATCACTTGTGGTACCTTTGTAGACCTCTTTTGTACAACTTTTAAAGTTTTTCTCTGTACTCACAAGGATTTGAGATGTCACTGGGAAAAAAAGTTCTCCATAGAGGCACAACTTCATAAATGTTTACGAGCAACAACAACCACACCTCTCCAACCTATAATTCAGGCTCCTGAATAATTGTGGTACAGATTTGTGCAAGTCCTGGTGTGTGAACACTAAATATCTGAGATTATGCTTATGGTGAAGGAAACAAAATTATGCTGAACCATGTTGCATTTACTGATTCTTAGGAAAGGTTTTTCCCATTACATACCTAAGTCACATGTCCTTTTTGAACTTAGAACTTACTTTTTCATGTTCATTTCTGTGTTATAATAATCTCAACTATCAGTTAGCTATCACCTCACTTGTTGATAAACAGTGATGGGCAGCGTTTTCAGCCAGCAGAATTTCTTTGAATGAAAGGAGGAGGAAGGAGAGTTAGGAACTGAGATATCACCTCAGGATGATTTGAAGGAGTCATTCTTTATCAGGAAGGATTTTTATATCTAGTACAGGCAAGACAACAGTCTTTTTGTCATGGATTTTCCTAGAAGTAAATGCCATTTGGATCTGGCTCTAGGACCAGTAATAAATTTTGTCTTTTCTCTATGCTATAGCTGCTTCAGCTATTGGCCTAAGCCTTAATTTTTACTCTTCATTGACTGTAGAGAGATACATTAGCAGCAGATAGGCCAGCCCATGTATTCTACCTGCGTGGTTTCCAATTTTTAATATGGTTGTCCCAGAAAGTGTTTTCAGATATTTCCTTTCTGCAGATATAGATCTTAACTGCCTATGCATTTTAAGAATTTTATGTTTGTGAGTTTTAATTCCAACCAAGGAATTACTCTTTTACCAGTTCCATGCCAATTTAGCAATTAGAGAAATCACAAGCATACTGAAGTGGGTGTTATACTAATATATTTTGTATTTCTCTTTGTTTATCCACAGTTTGGGGATTTGGGTTCCTGGCTGTGTCTATCATTAACTTGGCATCACTTCTGGGACTGATTTTAACTCCTCTTTTAAAGAAGTCGTATTTCCCCAAGGTTTTAACTTACTTTGTGGGCTTGGCCATTGGTACTCTCTTTTCTAATGCAATTTTCCAGCTCATTCCAGAGGTAAGCAAGGGGATTAATTATTTGGTTTGAATACTAGTTTCTAAAGTGTATTGATTTTAAAAGCATGATGCAGTGGGATTCTGTATATGGGTTTCAATCTCCAAAGAGTTTTGTGTGGGTTTCAGTGCCATGAGTTATGATCCCTCTCTGAAATGTGTCAGAGCCATCAAGATCTGTGTCTTGTTCATTGGGGAGGACCAAGGGCTATTCTTCCACTAAACAAAAAGAGAAATCCATTGGATAAAGTTGTAGTGAACTTTTAATAGGCTATACTGTTAACATTTTGTCCAAGTTTAAAAAATGTAATGAGGTAAGAATCTTTTACAATTTCTGCTCATGGAAACCCATGGTTGGTATAGAGAAAGTTTTTGTAATAGAGGGATATCTGCAGAGTGCGGTGTTTGTTTTTCTGGAACTGTACTAAGATTGCAGAAAAATTTGCATTGCTTTTTTTCTTCACTATTAGGCATTTGGGTTTGACCCAAAAGTAGATAACTACGTTGAGAAAGCTGTTGCTGTGTTTGGTGGATTCTATATTCTCTTCTTTGTGGAAAGGATTCTTAAAGTAATACTAAAGCTCTACAACAAGGTAATGAAACCTATCACTAACTGAATGAGTCTCACCTTGAAGTACCTGTCATATTTTGTGAGGTACTTGCTAGATGAATAAAACGTGTGTGGGGTTTTCTATTTTAAGTGACAAATTCAGCCTTATTGTGTGTTCTGATATATCTGTTTAAAGCCCATATGAATAGGAAAAGAAATCTCATTTTTTTAAGGGAGTTAAAAGCAGCTCTGGGAATGGAATCCAGATGTGAGTGTGGTCTGCTTTCTTTGGTAAATGCTCTAGTTTCTCTCAGCAACCAAATAGTTGCTGTGGTAGCTAAACACGTCAGAAAATCACAGAAATATGTAACAGGTGGAGAGAATGAAGTCTTCCCATGGAGATCCTCTTTGGGCAGGAGAAATCAGTGTGACAAGTACACCTTCTTGGTCATCTGCAAAGTGCAGGTGCACTGAAGGCCTGACTGACCTTCAGTAACTTCAGCTCTGTGTTTCCCCAAGCTCTGGTACACAGGACTGCTTCAGTGCACACTGCAGTTGTCTCCTCTTGCCCAGGGCCCTTCTTTCTACCCCTGTGTCAGAGTACTTCTGTACTTCAGTGTGCTCATTTGTGCAAGGCTGAGAGAAGGGCACCTCAAAATTGTTGGTCCTCCCTGCCTATTACTGCCTATTACTGGGGAAAGGAAACTGCCTTGTCTTCCTACTCTGACCTCTGTTTTCTCCTCCCAAAGTGTTGCTGATACTGAAAATTATGATGATCAACTGTCTCTCATTTGCAATAGCTAGAAATAGAAAAAAATAATTTGTTTTTCTTTATTTATGTAAACAGACAAAGGCTAATAAGCTGTATTTGACAAGCAACCGTGAATAACCAGCAAATGTTGATCACTTTTGGTCAGATTGGCTTGGGAGGTTCTACATAAAGGTATAAAAATGAGAAGTTTGCCATGTTTTCTGATGAGCTTAAAGTAAGAGATAAGTTAGGAACTTAGATTTGTTTGGGGTTATTTAAAAAAAAAAAAAAGTTCACTGCTGTTCATTTCAGCAATTCACTTGGTGTTGAAAGCAAGGCAGCATGAATATGATCTTCCCCCCACCTTTTCCTTTTTATCTTTATTTTCTTACATTGCTATTTTGCTTTTGTTTTAATTAGCTACCTGCTTGTTTATTTGTCACCTAGACTGGCCATAATTACTTTGAAAATGGAGAAGAGAATCATTCTCAGGATAAGACTAACTCACCCAAACCACCATCATCCAGCAATGGGGGAAAGTGTTATGCAAATTCAGCTGTCATAGAGAGCAATGGAAACCTTGGTTTTGACAGCATCAGTGTGGTCTCAGCACAGGTATGAAAATTGCATCTGTTTATTTATTTTATCCTTGCCAATTATATGAGCATATCTGAGGAAAGTTAATATGAATTTTTATTGCTTTTTTCAAGTTTTTATAGGTTACAGCTTATAATTTGGTTGGACCCTATGAAAATATACAGAGTTTTGGGGCAAGCTTGAAAAAGCTGAATGATGGACTCAATTTGTAACCAACAAAAAAGCCTGTGTTATATCAGTGTTGGAATGGGTTGGACAAAGAGATGCATCTAATCAGATTTGAATTTGTATTTATATTATATTCAATATTTATATTATATTCATAATTTGGTTAATTTTGGCTTTGTTGTTGTTACTGTTTTGCTTAAAGAGTAATACTGTGTTTTACTGTTGTGGTAATGTTGATCATACAAAATTATCCGTATTTTGTTCCTGAATATATAAAGCCATCAAGTGTGAGAATCTGATTCTTCTGAATCAATGATTAAAGAGGAAAACTAGTACAGTAACTTTCAGGCAGTATATTGTGAGCACTGCTTGTGATAATGCAGTGTGCTTGGATACTGTGGAAATCATGGAAGTAATATGTTGAGACAGAAGCCACTCCTCCTGATTTAAGTATTATTATCTTTCAGATTTATTCTCTGTATTTCTTTGTGTTTGTTTTCATACTGCAAATACCACTTCCTTCTGTCTGAGAAGAAAATGGAAGTTGAAAGAGAAAGTTTTGTGCTTCTTCAGTCTTTTTCCATGTGTAGAGAGGAGCAGTACTATGCAGGGAGGAGCAGTACTGTCCCTTATTAAAAAAAATTAAAAACACAGAAAAAAATTCAGGTGTCTTAAGACAGACTTTTTTCATAGTAGAGATTTTTGGTTTGCCATCCATTTTTATTAGCCAGTAAGTTAGTTGTGGGGAGCAGAGAGGAGCAAGCAGGAGAGCAAGCCAGAGGCAGTCCCTAACAACTGGGAGAAAATCTGGGAGTTCTGAACTGACCCTGCAGGCAATTTGATGCACAGTTTAAAACACCAAAATTGTACTTGTCCTTACCATAGAAATGTCATGAACTGTGGTGGATATCTTAAAAATTATAAGAAATATACTTAATTGCTAAAATTACATGGGCACCGGGAGGGAATTAGTATTATGAGTGTCCATAAGTTTTATTTTGTAGATTTATGAAACAAGTAAAAGAAGGCTCTGCTCTCTGCAGAGAGAGAAAAGCAGTACAGCCAGCAGGACTAGGGAAGTGATCATTCTCCTGTGGCACTGCTGAGGCTGCACCTTGAATCCTTTGTTCAGTTTTGGGTCCCTCACTACAAGAAAGACCTTGAGGTGCTGGAGTGTGTTCGAAGTAGGGCAACAAAGCTAGTGAAAGAGCTGGAGCATGAGCCCTATGAGGAGCAGCTGAGTGAGCTGGGATTGTTTAGGCTGGAGCAAAGAGGCTTGGGGGGACCTTATCACACTCTACAAGTGTCTGAAAGGAGGCTGTAGCCAGGTGGGGGGTGGTATCTTCTTCCCAACATTAAGTGACTGATCAAGAAGAAACAGCCTCAAGTTGTGCCAGGGGAGGTTTAGATTGGATATTAGGAAAAAGTTCTTCACAGAAAGGGTTGTCAAGTATTGGAACAGATTGCCCAGAGAAGTGGTGGAATCTCCATCTCTGGAGGTGTTTTAAAGGTGCATAGATGTGTTGCTTAGGGATTTGGATTAGTGGTGGACTTGGTAGTGTTAAGTTAATGGTTGGACTCGATCTTTGAGGTCCAACCTAATGATTCTGTGATATTGTGTAGCAACAAAAAACCCCCATCATTGCTCTTGTCCTCCTCCAGTGAGGTTCAAAGGTTAGGGGAGGGCCAGTGTTGCTGAGGTGCTTTGGGGCAGTTAGGTAATGACAAGAAGGTAGGTATGCATTCAGCTTTACAAGAATGTAGTATTTAAGACAAAAACATTTGGCATAAGCTAATCTGTACCCAAGAGAATTTTAATGTGTCCTCATTATTGACAGCTTGTTAAAGAGGGCAAATACAGAGTAGTCAGAAATCAAAATGAAGGCTTTAAAGAGGAAGTTTGAAGCCTGATTGTGCCAAGATGTAGTAACTGTTTTCAGCCATGGGGATCCAGCTATATTCTCTCCTTTAATGCCAGAAGAGATTGACTGCCAGTGTAAATGTTTAATTAGTCACCTACTTTCTGTTTTCACTTGCAGCAGTAATTGCAACCTTGGAAACCTTTGTGCTGTACCCAAAGTTTGTATCTACTTTGCACTGAAATATGGCTTGACAGCAGAAACTTTGAAGGAAAGTTATTTCAGAGACAAATTGCTGAAACGTCTGTGTTCTTGAGTGTACATTGTTAGAGTTGTATAACAAAACTTTACAGTGCTTTTATTGATTGCCTTGAGGCAGTGTCAGGATTCCTTCTTGGTTCTGTGGTTTATTCCAGAGGACATGTCTGGTTCATGTCTGAGGGAATCAGACATGTGTTGGAAATAGCAATAGTAATCTGAGATGTCATAGGATAAAATAAGAGAGTCTCTGTTATCATTTCTTAAGTTTGGGAATGAACAAGAGGACATTACTTTTTAAAAATCCCCCTGTGTTTAGAAGAGCATAAATACCAAGGACGTGTTTGGTTTACCATAAACTGTGGAGATACAAATGATGTAGGACTGCACTAATAATTAATAAAAATTAAACCTGATACTCTAGCTGGGTATTACAGAGCTCCTTAGCTGGCATATCTTTTGATGTCTGCTAAACTACCATGACAAAGTGGAAATAGTCCAGAGGAAACAGACATTGTTAATTTTTTGCTTTGGAATCCTATGTGTTTGTACAGTATTTTGTCAGTAGTCTGCCTTATCTTAAACATGAAGAATGTGTATTACTTGTACATCTACTTCTACTGGATACATGATCTAGTAAAGTTCAGAATGCAGTTCCAGAAAAACAATTTCATTGTACTTTATATAATTTAGAGAAGTTGTCAAGACATCATTTAAAATTGATTACATGTAAGTATTATTACACATCAGAGTTATACAGTAAATATAAGTGGCAGATAGCCAGACATATATATATATGTATATATAAACAGAAGTGTCTCAGAAACTAATTCATAGTTTATAAATTGCAATTGTTTCTGCATTTTGAAAGTTTGGATCAAGAAATTAATTTTTAGAAGTAAATAAATACTAACACCCTAAATTAATTGCAATTACTTAAAATGTTCTTTTTGGTGGGAAAAATGGGTGAATTATTTAAAATGAAAACTTGCTCATTAGATCAAGCTTCCTTTCCTCAGTGAAGCTAGAAACCTGTGCAAAAAAGGTGATGTGCTTTAGGCAGAAGTCAAGATGTCCTACAAAACAATGCTTCCTCTGGCTTGTAGTCAGCTTGAAGGATTGTCTCCAGGGAACAGAAAAAAATGGAGAACAGATCTTTAGCTCAGGAAGATGGATGAATTGTTGTAAGAGCTTTGCTAATTGTATTTTGGTTTTCTTATACTTGTGTATTTTGTGTGGCTTGCTTTGTAATACATCTTTCTTAGAGTGACGTTCAGCTTGTCTTCATGGATTAAGAGAGAGATCTATTGCTTGTAAGTGATCCTATCTCAAACAGAAATAGTACAGATACAAATTATTAATCTCAAAAAAATGATTGGTGCTGCTTGTGTTAGAGGAAATGTTGAGAGGAAAGCCTTCAAAAACTAAAGGCAAGCATGTAGTACAAATCTAAAACCTATGTGTTTGAGTCAGCAAGGAAGCTTGACTTTTTGATACCATTGCTCATTTTTGCATCCTAGAAGTATAATTTCAGAATTTCCTGTAGGCTAAATAGAAGCTGCTTTGTGGAAGTTTTGGCACTTCTCAACCAAGAGTTTATTATCTATGAGTTCCAGACAGTGCAATAGGCACCTGACTCAGAAATTCCTGACCTGAACTTTTGTCCTGTCCCAAGGCAGCTCCTACATACAAGAATGTAGTCAGATAAGAGTCCTGTGAGCAAATAATGTGATAGACCTTAGAGCTCTGTCCTTAAATATTTAATTAATAAATAAGAACTAATTAATTATTTCATTTCCTTGAAGTTCAAAATTCAGTTTGCCTGGAAGCATTTGCATATGGTGAAACTAAAACAATTTTCTAAGAACTAAAGCATTCTTTTTAACAGCTTAAGAAAATTTCTTGGAATACTCTTTGCCTTCTTCTAAGGACAAGGAGGTGTTCCTCTACATCCTTGTACTTCATGAAGTGGAGATGTGTGTGGATAAGAAGAGAGCAGTGGATATTGCCTGCCTTCACTTAAACAATGACTTTGACAGTGTCTCTCACAACATCCAATTTCAGGAAGTGTGGAATGGATGAGTGGACAGTGAGGTGTATTGAGAGCTGGCTGAATGGCAGATGTCAGTGGGCCAGGGTGTAATTGAAGGCCTGTCACTAGTGGTGTCCCCCAAGGTTCAGAACTGGGCCCTATATTATTTAACCTGTTCATCAAAGACTTGGTGAAGGGGCAGATGCCTCCCAAGCATGTTCACTGATGACACAAACCTGTGAGGAGTGGCCAATACCCTGCAGTTCTGTGCAGCACTTCAGAAGGGTCCCAGGTTGGAGAGGGGCAGAGCAGAACCTCCTGTAATCCAACAAAGGCAGATGCAGCATCATTCACTGGGAAGGAATAACCCCAGGCACCAGCACAGGCTGGGGGCTGACCTGCTGGAAGCAGCTCTGCAGAGAAAGACCTGGGTGTCCTGGCGGAGAACAAATTGTCCATGAGCCAGCAGTGTGTCCTTGTGGCCAAGAAGGCCATTGGTATCCTGGGGTGCATCAGGAAGATCAGTGCCACAGGTCAGGATGTGATCCTGCCCCTCTGCTCAGCCCTGGTGAGGCACATCTGGAGTGCTGAGCCCAGTTCTGGGCTCCTCAGCACAAGAGGGACATGGAGCTCCTGGAGCAGGCCCAGTGGAGAACACAAGGGCCATGAGGGGACTGGAGCATCTCTTACGAGGAAAGGCTGGGGGAGCTGGGCCTGTTCAGCCTCAACAAGAGACAACAGAGAGGGGAACTCAATGTTTATAAACACCTGGAGGGAGAGTGTCAAGGGGATGGAGGCAGGCTCTGCTCAGTGATGCCCAGCAATAGGGCAAGAGGCAGCAGGCAGAAACTGATGCACAGAAAGTTCCACCTGAACATGAAGAAGAACTTCTTTACTGTGCAGGTGACTGAGCACTGGAACTGACTGCCCAGAGAGACTGTGGAGTCTTTCTTATTAGAAACATCCAAGAGCTGCCTGGATGCTATCCTGTGCCATGTGCTTGAAGAGGGGTGTTGGACCAGATGAGCTACTTTGGTTTCTTCTAACATGAACTAATCTGTGATTCTGTGCTATGTATGTCTGTAGGCACACAGAGGTATATGTTACTGCTTATATATTCCAGTAAGTAAGTACTAGTTAATGGTTTGTAAGCAGTTTTATTTTAATGGGGGAAATACTGTAATGCTAGGAAATATTCTGTAAATATAGTGTATGTATACAGAAATTCATCAAATGGATCACCAGGAACTTCTAGGGGGGCTTAATTTGTGCTCCTAGTTAAAATGGCAGTTCCTTTTATGTGTGTTCAGGTTTTTCATTATTTCATGGCACCACATGTATAAATTACTTCCACTTCTGGGAAGAATTGGTGAGATCCCTGGAGTGTATGTGCATTGCAGTTTTATATTAGCCTGTTGATTTTGTGCTCTGAGCCTTTAATTCTGCAGTCAAAATTAGCCACTGCTGTTTTTATTAAACATTCACTTTTTAGAAACTAATTTGAGTAGCTGGACTATCATTGCCCAAAATTAGAAATAAACTTTATGGAGTATCTGGATGTGTCTATACTGTAAACACATTCTACAGTATAGATGCATCACATGTATCATGTAGATAGAATTCTGTCACTGTGGTAGCTGAGTGTGTCTCTGAGACCATGATGTAGTTTCAGTTGTTTTAAATACAGATGCTGCCAGTCACTGAAATCAGATTCTTCTGACCGTACATGCTTATATAGAGGTGTCAGAAGAGGCTTGAGGCTGTCTTTATCTGACAGAGACTCCACAGAGACATTCAGACCACTGCAGCCTGAATTGCTTCCTGTCTCAGTGAAGGGCATCCAGGTGACACTTTGCAGTCAGAAGGGTGACTGGGTCCTGCATGTTATCTTATTGAAACAGAAAATATTTGGTGCTACTGCTGTGCCATTTGCTTCTTGGACAAAGCAATTTTGTCTCCATATGCAGCAGTGCTTGAGTTTATACTTGGCATTCATTTAAAGATAGAAGCATGATTCATTTTCTTCTTTATTCATTGTTTTGGGTAATTGTTTTATTCTATATTTTTTTCAGGAAGAAGCCACCCAAAGCAGCTTATGCAAGTGTCTTAAGGGGCGCCCACTGTCGAAGATTGGCACCATTGCTTGGATGGTGACACTGAGTGATGCTGTACATAATTTCATAGATGGCTTGGCTATTGGAGCTTCTTTTACTTTGTCTCTGCTGCAAGGGCTTAGTACCTCCATAGCTATCTTGTGTGAAGAGTTTCCTCATGAATTGGGTAAGGAACTTCATTGCACACATTGTTTCCTGGGGAAATCACTGTTGTAGGTGGTTGTGTTGGCATAAATTTGGCAGAGGGTGAAAGAAAGTTTAGACAAATTAATAGAAAAAATGTCAAAAAGTTACTGAGCACAAAAACACACATCTGGCGCAGGAAGTTCCCAACTGCAGGTGGGTGGAAGCTAGGACCATATATTGGACAGGTACTAATTATCCTGTTTATATATGCTGCAGACAGTGTTGTACTAATTAATTTTAAAACCAAAAATCACCACAGGTAGTTGTGTGTTCCTGTGCTCTTAGCTCAATCTTGCATCAGTATTTGTTTAGAGTATCTCAGTTTCCTTAATATTGAAGGGATATCCTCATCACATATTTGAACAAAGAAAAACAACACAGTATCATAATGTGTATACAAATAATGTTTTTTCTTCAGACTTCCTTTGAAATCAGAAAATAACCACAATATCATTCTCTGAATATAGTTTTCTTTCTTTTGTTGTTGTTGTTTTAGGTGATTTTGTCATCTTGCTTAATGCAGGAATGAGTACTCGGCAGGCTCTGTTTTTCAATTTCCTATCTGCATGTTCTTGTTACATTGGGTTGGCCTTTGGAATATTAGTAGGCAACAACTTTGCTCCTAACATCATCTTTGCTATAGCCGGTGGAATGTTCCTGTACATCTCTCTGGCAGATATGGTGAGATATAATTTCATTTTCAGTTATTTCTTTCTCTGCAAAAAAAAATAGACTCCACTAAGTCTCTCTAGTAGAATTTAGTATTTTCTCCTTCTTTTGCCAGTGACTAATAACAATAATATTATTATTAATAAAATATAGTAACTTAAACCCTTAATAGAGGTGCACAGATAGTTACTGTTACGGGTAGGTAGGGCTTTATAAAGCCTTACCTGTTGGTAACAAGTTATGTTTATTCATGAAACACAAAAGCCTTTCACCTCATTGTGTTATTATTGAAAAGCAGTTTTAGACAGAGACAAGCCCTTCATTAATCTGGCCTGATTTAATCAAAGAGTAAAACATGTATAAACACTTTGTTTCAGCATTTTAAAGTGTCACAATATTTCCCCTTATTATTTTAAAAGGTTCATTTGCCTATTTAAACCACGTTGTGAAAGAAAAGCAAAAAAAGAAAGGTAAACAGAAGGAAGTTAAATATTAAGTTTTTTAGTTGAATGAAAGGTGTTGTGTAACCACAGTGATAGTGAAAAACTTGATTTAAATTCTATCCTGGTTTAAATTAGAATGCAACCTCATTTTCATGGTTCAGGCAAAAACTTTTGCTGAGTTCTATTCAAAATAGTCTGTTTATCATGTATTTTTCAACATGTGCCAGAAGATATATGGAAAAAAAATTGTTCTAAAATCCAGATTGTATTTAGACATTAGGAAAAAAAAAAATCTGGATTCACAGGCACTTAGCAATATTCCATAATTTCCTCTTATGAGGATGTTTTGTCTCAAAATGAGAGAGATATTTCAAGAATTTTAAGTTTTATTATGTTTCATTCAGTGTTGTAACAACAGATGTAACAGGTGCAAAGGTGTTTACATCTGCCGCATGGGAATCCATTTGAGTGCAGAACTGGAAGAGTGAGGCCTGAATCTGAAAAGATTTGAGACCCCAGTTTGGTTCCATGTGCATTTAGGAACTTTCATATATTTATAGTGACTATTTCATTAAATTCAGTTATAGTTTAGGTGATAGTACAGGATTTAATAAGTTGTTAGAGTTATAAATAATATAAGTAGTTTATTTTATAAGCTTGCAGTACTTTAATTGCTAATGCTTTTTGCTTACCTTCACTCATATAATGAATAACAATGTACTGAACTCTGATGTGTAAAATTTGTGGCATAAATTTATAGTGACTCAAGTTTGTTATTAAATCCATCTAAGTAGGTAACATTCTCTTCTTTGTATATGTTGTTCTGTTCTCTCTGTTCCTCTCTATCTGTCTCTCTCCCTGTACCATCCTCTCTCTCTTTTTATAGGTTTTTGGATTGTATCAGTTACCTATCTGAAATTTTCTTCCCCCTGAAAAGTCTGAAATAGGGTATTGAAGTGCTCTGTACAGAGATCTGGCTTTCCACTTTCTTATGATTTTCACACACTTCTGGTTTCCTTGTCCAAAAGCAGGTAGGATTAACTGGAATTTCATGCCTTCCTCCTTTTCTTTTTGCTGTTCTTTTTTCTTCCATTATTGGCATAGTCCAACCTCTGCCAATAGGATCACTGAGTGGGGAGGCTGTGGGCAGGTGGGAATGTACACTGAGGTGTGTGCACAAATGAGCCTTGCTGTATGGCATGAAGTTAATCTTGTTTTGCACTGTTGTGCAAGAGTGTGACGGAGCTCTGTGACGATTTCTGGGAAGCTTTGGGCTCTTCCCGCTAACCATAGCCTGTTCTTCAAGAATTGCATTACCTTCAATGACTGTTTTTGTGTTGTGAGATCAAAGAAAGATACAGTTTCTGAGTCACCCAGCCTGAAGGCTTCCTAACTAGGGCTGACATAAACTCTCTTTGTTGTATTCTGGTTATGCTATTCTCAGCAGAACAGGTGACTCCTTTGAGGCTTATTTCTCAAAAGCCACTGTGGTTGACTTTACCTGCAGCAAACATGTACCCTGAATCATTCCATGCAGGGAACTTCATGCCTGTGCTCTTGTGCCATCACCTCCACTGCTCCAGAGGCAGTATCTTTGTTTCTGTAGTTAGCAGCCGATCAGTCACCCTTTGCTCTTGTGTTAACCATTAAGATGTATATTACGGAACGAAGAATCCCATCATGGCACTGTAATTGTCATATTGCATCTGTTGCCACCAATTTCACACCAGTCATCTTTCTCTTCTTTGCTTGACCTGATGAGCCCACCAGGCCTTCCACATGTAAAAGATTTCTGATAGGTTGTCTGTGTTTTCATCTTTGCTTCGTTTTCCTTCAGGTAAAGCAGAAGAATCCTAATCTTCTGTTTCTCAAACAAGGATTTCTCTTTATAGCAGTGAAGGAAGAAACAAAACATTTAGCAATAAATACAAGGGCAGCTGCTCCTAGCAACACACGGACCAACAACTGGAACCTAGGAGGCTGCTGGAATCAAAAAGGGAAAATTTGCATGAGACACAGCCAGATGAAGCTACTGTAGAGAGGAACAAAACACCATTTCATCTTATCATGCTTGGTGGAGTGGTTTTTCAGGATAATTGGGGTGATATTTTCTTGTGACTGCCTTCACCCTCTGTTAGTTCTAATATTCAGTCCAAAGTAGCAATATGGTTCAGTTCTTAATGCCTTAAATTAAGCATGCTACCACAAGATGGCAATACTTACTTAAAAATATCCCTTTTTTTCAGTTCCCAGAGATGAATGATATGCTGCGGGAGAAAGTGACAGGAAGAAAGACGGATCTTACATTCTTCCTTATTCAGAATGCTGGTTTACTAACGGGGTTCACTGCTATCCTGCTGATTACCTTGTATGCAGGAAATATCGAGCTGTGAAAACAGAATCAGGATTGGAGACATCAAGTAAATTGCAAATGGAAGACACTTGAAATCCATACAGGGACATTCATGTAATCTACTCGGTTTTTAAACGGTGGCAAGGCCCGTCCTGTCCCTCTTGTCCCAAATACAGGAAATTCTTCTTTAGGACTTGCAGTTGAATCAAATAGTAGGAGCTGTCAGCTTCTGTATGATGCCAAAAAAATTATGCTAATATTTGTATTTCTACTTAAAATTATCAGACATATCTGAACTGTCATAGCGGAAGGGTGTTACTTGGCCAGTAGAATTATGCAATACATGCAACTACATGCAACTCCAGACCAACTGAAAGCTGAGGTCTACAAGGAAGATGGGTATTTAAAAGTAAATAATATAGTTTCATATAATTTTTAAACCGTGATGAAGGCAAGCAGTTTCAAAACTGGTTAATTTTTGTGACTTTTGTTGCAGGATTTGTCTGTGTAACATCGTCATTCCCAACCAAAAAAAGAAAAAAATAAATCAAACCATTTCAGAGTAGGTACTAATGAAGCTAAGATTTTTAATTACTAATTAACACTGGAAGGAAAGATACCAGTTCCTGCTTTTGATCTTTTCTTTTTATAAATGCACTAGGGAATTGTTGATTTATTTTGAGAACCACTTTTTTTAATTAGAGGGAACCTGCGTTAAATTTATGACTGTTTATCAACTCCATAATATTTTAGAAACATTGAGTATTTTTTAAATGTTCAAGTATTATCAGTTTATTCTATGAAAATAATAAAGTTTTATACTTAAGTTTCACATATATCCCCTTTAAAAATCAGTTTTTTAGTCTTACCAAGGAAAATTTAGAAAAAAAAAATTTGCTAAAATCATCATTCCAGTATGCTTTCTTCATTGAATTTGAATGATTTCTTTGTGTGCAGTTGGGTGGAATGAAATGATAATAAAATATACAAATTCTTACCACAATCTGTTGCGTGTGAGCTTTCTAAAATCATGCTTATATGTATGAGTTCTTCTGAAATAAACAATTCATCTACTCATTACTAATCTGTTGTAAGATGAGCACAAGGAAATTCATAGAAAAATACATTCCATTTCAATCACCACTTTGCTTTGAAGGAAGCATTATTATTCTCCTGTAAGTTACTTTTTTCATTGATTTTTAAGCAAGTTTTACAGCTTCAAAGGAGATGCTGTTTTTTGATGTATTTCATTGCTGTAGGAAGGTACAACTATTTTATTTTTAATTCTTTATTGGAATATTTTTTTTCTACCAGGTAAAGTATTTATTTTAATACTTTATTTGAATCTCATCCGTAATTACCCTAGGAAAAAATAAGTTCTTTAAGTGTCTGTTTAATAAAAGCTTTAAGGTAAACTGCACAGGAGTTGTAAATAATACTTTAAAATATGTTATATATATTAAAATGTAAATATAGTAGCCAATGATACTTGCTGTATGTAAAAAGCATTTATTAGTCATTTTGTGCCCTGTAAGTTTCTGTGTAGAAGAGTGCACTGTCTTTCCTTTAATTCTTTTATTGTTGATTTCTTGGATATAAGCTGTTTGTAAATGTTACTCTTGTGTATGACAGTAATGTGTTATAGTAACTATGAATGTTCATAGATGTCCTAAAATAATGTGACCATTCCTAGTTTATCAGATTATTTTAATAATATGCCTGCATGGTACTTTTCACCTTTAAATCCAAAAATTTGCAAAGGAGATTTGCTCTTTGTTAATTTCCTAAAGAGGAAAAACTGAGACAAGCGAATCATTGGAATAACCTACTTTTAGATCATAGAGCTGACCAGAGATGGAACAAAGTCTGATTTTGAGTGTAGTGCTTTAATCACAAACCAAATTGCCATTTCTGCTAGTGGGCTATTTAGTACATAACAAAGCTTTTTGATTTCTGTATGAGCAGGTTTGTTTGTATATCTTGGCTATTATCCTTGTCCAGTACATATAAAATACATCTATTCCAATTCTAGGACTCTCAGTGATGTTCAAGATTTGCAGAGCAGGGCATCGACTTGAATTTCCTTCTCCAGGCTCTGTGGATTAGTAGGTGCCAGCAAATAATTTCATATATACATACACACTAAATGCGTATTGTAGTTCTTGACTTTTATTTCACTGTAATATCCCATCCTTTCCAGGAATGTGTAAGTACCTTAACAGCTCTTACACTTGCTGCACAAGTTATGTCTGTAGAATCTGAGAAGAAACTCGTCTCCTTGTCTTGCAGTTCAATTCAAAATGCACAAGTGTGTCAAGCTGACAAAGGTTGCTGGAATGAAGACTAGAGAGAAAGCCATAAAACTAGTGGCAGTAAATGTAATGCAGCTGTCAAAGGCAAGGTTACATTCTTTTTTGGGGGTTTATTCCATACTACACTTCTTTTGTACTCAATATATTGTCTCTTTTTTTTTCCCCTTCTCCTTATTATGGTGCTTTTGAAGAAGATAATGTAATTTCATGTGTTGTGGTTGATATTATGATCGTAATGCTTTGTTATAATTTAAATACCCTCCACAATTTCTGCATCTTCTTCCATTTAAAGGGTAAGTGCTACAGTAAGGTTTGAGGTACAAATAGGAGTTACAGAAAGATAGATGTAGCTTGAATTTATGAATTTAGGCAATAATGTAATTCTCCATAATACAGCTTTAACAGTTGCTTTGAGTGAAAGCACAATTCATAAGATCCAAATTTGATTTACTTTAGAGAAATAATAGTTCCTGACACTGAGGACAAACAATGTAAACGTTCTCCTTTATCTTGACTATCTCCATGGATAGTTGTCAATTTCCTACTGTTTTCTGGCTTTCTTCACCTTTAAATGACAATCACACCCATGAAGTTGCCAAAAATTAACCTCCTGGTGTTTTGTGGAGTTGGTATTGGCAAAGCCTGAGTTATTAAAATGAAAATAATAATAACTAGTAATCCTGTTCAATAAAAGCATTTAGCTATTATACCAGCTATTTTCTTATGTAGAACAGTAGTGGTATAGACAATCAAAGACAAGAAGAAAATTTATTTATATGCATCTAGCCTTAGTCAGTTGGAGAAACAGCAGCAGTTGTCTCTGGCTGTGCTGGTTCTCGAGAAGATGATGTGCAGCAGGCATTCCTCTAGTGCTGAAGAGTGAAAAAAACAATCTAGAAGACGCATGAAATGAGATTATATGAGTCAAGCAGATTTAGTTAGCTAGAGAATACAAAATGGCTTTAATGGCACTGGCCTAAAGGATTCAGAAACTGCACTAAAATGTGCTTTTCCAGTTCATGGGTGAAAGCTAATGAAGAGCTTGTTTCACAGTAAATACAACAATAAAAAAACTGACTGGAGAAAGGTAAGTAATTTCCAAGTTGTTTCTGTAAGACAAAGAAAAATTATTGCTATGTCACTGATTTGAAATTTTTTAATGTTCTTGCAATGACTTGCAAATGAGAACTTATTTTAGAACAATTCTTTTTTCTTTGAGAGAACCCTATTTGTGTGTGATGCTAAGAAGATTTTGAAATTATTTCTCAGGTTTTCATATACTGAAATTAGTTAGCTCTGGTAAGGTTTATCAGTGTCCCTTTTCCTCACTTATTTTCTATAACTTCTATTTTACAAGAAGCTCTTGACCATTTAAATAAGCTATTAGTAAGATGTCCTTTTTCTTGAAAAAAATCTTAGTAGTGATTTCAAATAGGTAAGCATTCATTAGAAGTAAGTTATGATGTGATTTTAAAACTCTTTTTACAAACAGCAGACCCAAATGCAAAAAAAACTCTTCAGTCATGATGAATGGTGATGTATTAAAGAACATATTTCTCTGTGGCAGCAGAGGAATGGTCCTCTTTCAGTAAAGTTTATTAACTTTTCATTTCATTGGTATATTATAGAAATCAAAGACAGCTTTTATGAATTGGCAAGGAATTAGATGAGGTTTCCTGACCCTTTTTTATTTAAAAAAAAAAAAAAGTCCATAAAAATTACTCTTTTTCTAATTATTATTTTTATTGTTCTTCCAGTCATAGCAAAGTCTATGATTGCTTGTCTTACCATAAAGAAAAATCATGTAGCAGCTTAAATGAGTGACATCCTTTGATAACAACAAAGGGCCTTGTTCACTGAAGTATTTGTAACAGATTTCTTCTATACTTGAGTGAGAATGAGCAGCATAGAGCTGATTTCTAGATATGACCATACATACAATATTTTATATTTGAACTGCCTTCTGCCAAGATTGTTTTGTGAACTTAGGAATCTGCATGGTGCAGTTGGGCTTGCAGTGTGTGTAACTTCTTCCTTGAGGTGTGGGATGAGTTGTCCATGTCACACAGTGAAGGGTTGTGTTGGGAGAGATCTGTACAAGCTCAGATGAACCCTGCAGTGTGTGTTCATCCATTGTGTGTGCAGGAAGAAGGACAGCCATGTTAATAAGGCAGTCAATCCTAATAAGAAAGTCTACTCTGTCACAAAATTGCAATAGCTGTTTGTGACAAGGTGATGGTGTACTTCTATGAAGTGGTATTAGTATATGTTTGCATGGTGAATTTTAGGCACAGGATCTTCTGTCTTACGTGTGTATTTACAACTACAAACTTGTTCTATCATGAATGTGTTCTAACACCTTTGGAATATAAACTGCCTTAGATCAACATCCTCACTATTCAGTTTTGCATGTTCATCTTTTTGGCTTTTCTTTTTTAAATCGTACAACGTATGGAATTCAGCTACAAGGTAGTATGAAACAAATCCACAAAACAGTAAAAAAATGGATGAAATAAAGAACTTTTTCCCAGTCACTGAAAATAAAGCTTCTGACTTTTGAAAAGTTAACAATGGTCATAGCAAGCAGAACCTACATTTTACATTTCATCTGAAAAATGATAACCCCTGGCGCTTAGAACACCATAATGTAATGCTGGTTCAGTGTGCTCTCTACACTTTATATGCCATCAGTTCTTGAAGACTTTTTGATTATTTGCTGCTGGATTACAGCCTCACTTCTTGACTAACATCCTGTTTCCAAGTCTACTTAGCCATGCTAGGGGGAAAGCTCATAGAGTAAAACATAACAGAGAGGTATCAGGCAGATCTCAGCAGTGCACCTTCAGAGCATTTCTTAGCTGTCAGCCACTGTCGGTGGGTGTCCAGATATGTCTTGATGCTGTGTTGAGATACCACCCACACAAGTAACATCCTTTCCCCACCCTCTCATCTTCTGTGTCCACACTTATTTCCTCTGGAAGGAAAGTGGCTTCCTAGATGCCTGGTAGATGTGTGACTGTTTGCTTCAGGCAACTGGTGTACTAGGGACTGTGATTTCCTCTCCAGAGCACATTTGCCTTGTCATTCAGACACAAACATAGGTACAAACATAGTTATAGAGCAATAATTGGAGCTGTAACCACATTTGACTGGTAATTACTTGTCCTGTGTGGGTGTGAAGTACCTGCAGAGTTCCCAGCCTGGAGGGTTCAGGAAACATTACTTTTCTGAATTTTCAAAGTGAAACTGCATCCCAGTTTGTGGTTTAAAAGAAACTTGAAAATACTGCTATTGGTAGAAAAATTTGATCCAAAAGTGCACGGTAGAAGGCACTCTCTGAGCTACAATTTCTGCTTTGTCCCCAGCCATATCTACTCCATTTGTCTTCTGAACAACTAAACTTAAGATTAGTACATCTGTACTAGCAGGTCAGAACAGGATAGATTGGTTAATTTGCTGGTAGGTGATGGAATGCTGTGTGTAAGGGAGGAAATGTCTTGGTGTTTCTCCCTTTGAACAGGAAGGGGGGAAGGGAGTATATAAAGACATAGCTGAT